TGTTTACGGACGCACGACGGACGACGACGGACAAAAGGCGATCGCAATAGGTCACTTGAGACTTTGTCTCAGGTGACCTAAAAAATCCACCCGCCACTCTGTTTTTTACCGATTTTTTTTTTTTTTAAGTATCTGCTCTTGTGAAGTCCAAATTTTTAACCAACTTTTTTGAGCCATGTCTAATTTAAATAAAGAAATACAAAGAAAACGGTATAAGTGTGCGTCCGGTCAAACATACGAATTTAACGAAATATGTGATTTTTGGTGAAATGTATCATTTATATTATGATTTTAAACAGAAAAAAAATCATACAATATCTTCCAAATGTGTTATCAAAAATCTATAAATGTTTGCACTAATTATAGAAATAGTATTTTCCTCTTAATTAAGGAAGTTAAAAGTTTTTATTTTGATATCAGAAAAGCATTAAAGGGTACACTACCATTTATTTTTTGAAATTTTCACCAGATTTTGCTAATTTTACGATTGATATTTATAAAAGGTTTTGAAAACTTCACTGGAATGCCAAAAATTGGAATTTCTCAACTTAAAATAGTAAAAATAATTGTAGGTCACTGCATGTTTTGTCGTATTCTTTTTTGCGTTAATTTTTCAACTTTAAAAGATAAAAAAAACAAATGGGCTTCAGCTTCAGTTGTTTCGATATAACGTCACTTTTCTGCAAAACTTTGATATAATGTCATACGTTTATCACTCTACTGCAAAACCTCGATCAATTAAGTTATACAGAAATTTCTCGATACAATGCCCTCGTATTAATTATGAACTATACTGAAATTCCTCATTATAATGCCCGTCGTTTATCTCGCAACTGCAAAAAACTTGATATCATGACCCTTGTTCATAGTCACTCTACTGAAAAACCTTGATATGTCCATAGTTTAAACTATACTGAAATATCTCGATATAATGCTACTGCAAAACCTGGATAAATAAGGCTATACCGAAATATCTCGTTATAATGTCCGTCGTTTACCACGCTCCTGGAAAATCTAGATATAATGCCCTTCGTTTGAACTATACAAAAAATATCTCGATATATTGCCCCCGTTTATCACTCTTCAGCAAAACCTCGATTTAACGACGCTAGGCCTAGTCCATTCGTCACCTTTCTTACCCCAGACGTACGATTTTTAACAACTCCTTACATGTTTATCTCGCTATATGGCCAACTGATGTCGATATATCAAGTTTCAATGCATAATGGTTTGTATGTTAACGTTTTATTGATACACGAGTATCTATATTGTATGGAGAAGTGACGATAAATTAAATCCATTTAATCTAAAAAATACTCAAATAGATTACTTCTTTGATAAAGCAATTACGATTTAAACCACGAGTCCAATATGTAAATGTTTCTTTTGACGTTCACAAAATATATCATGGTTTGAAAGGAAATCGAAATTTTCGAGAGACAAAAAAGACAACAAACAATATCAAGCGATTTTCTGCAAATCATAGTGAGCAATGTTTTATTCATATAACTCAAGGAATATTGATATGTATACAATAACTGAATACTTTCCGGGGTCTGGCCCCGACAACAGACATATTGGTTTACGGATGAGAATTCTGCCTACGAGGCACCAACAACAAACAAATGGAAAACAGACAAAAACGATACATTTTAAGTTTTGACAAAATGTGAAGTTTTGAAAAGAAAGACAGAAAAAAAGAAAATAAAATAACTTTTTTCTCTCCATTTGATGGAAATCTATCATGATGGGATACAGTTCACACAGGAGTTGCTTCCCTTCCTTTATAATTCGAAAGTTTGGACTTGTGTCTGTTTGGACCAATACACTTTTCATTAAACATCGTTATTCAGTGAACCCTCGTTAAACCGGACTCCATTAATCCGGATAATCGATATCCATACGTTTAAGCTACCGAGTCCCATGGTTTTATCTCCAACGAAGAAGACTTCCAATTTATTTGCTCGCCAAATAATCGTCTTTGTATGAAAACAGCTGAAAAGTGGCCAGAATCTACCTTTTTATCCGTTACAGAGTAACTGTTTAATAATGTAATATCCGATAAACGGGTGTTCGGATTAACGGAACGTCCGCATAAGAAATTTTCACTGAATAGTGACTGACGTCGTATGTCAAGTCGTATATCATGCGACTTTACAAGTTATAACACAGTGACACACATACATATATAAAACGACTTACGGAATGGATAATTACATACTGGAGATCAAATATTTTTCGCGGGCACTCGCAGCAGCAATTTCGTCTTTAAATTCATCTTGTTCGATTACGAAGTTTTGGTGCTATTATTAATTTATGGGTGGACAATATATTGTGGAAGTTTCCTGATGGTGTACATGTGTTTATCCAGAAATCTTACAATTAAAAAATATTTTTTCTTTATATTCACGATTTCTCTACTATTTTCACACGTTGCCTTGATAATCATTTCAAATATGAACGTACAGGGGAGCTGACACGTGAAACTTATCAATCCCGAAAACAATTAAAAAAGGAACAAAATACTCTCCTTTTGACCAGTATAAATCAATATTGATTAATTCGGAGGCTTCTGAGGGGGTTTTCAAAACGATTTTCGATTTTATATGAAATATATACACAAAAAATATATGATCCCCAATATTAAAGAAATGAAAGGATTTCATAAAAGTCAGAAGAGGCTTTATAGGGAAACAGTCTCGTGCCACAGAACAAATTGTGACAGTTCGTAGCTATTGCTATTCCATTTTGAAACAATTAACCTAAAAAACAACTTTTCTTAACGTTTGGACTTTTTGAAATGGATCGTACTAATTTCGAATTTACAAACTCACGAAATTTAATACAATCACGAAAACATATTCTCCCGAATATCAAAATGATCCAGGTTGTCTGTTTCCCCATCATAGGCCCCGGTAAGGTCATGATTTTCATAAAAAATAAATTGATGATACACAATATAGGTCACTGGCACTTGGTTTAATGGAAAATGGCAACATACATGGAATGGAATGGTAAGTTGTAAGGTATAAGTATAAGTAAGGTGTTAGGGTCTTCATTGGTTTTATAAATATGGGTTATATTACAAATGTCTCCCGTGGTAGAAATGGACAAAAATAATAAAAAACAAGCAACATTTGAATTGACTTTGAGAAAGTTGAAAAAATCATGAGACAGAGACTATGTGACAATACATTTGTCAAAATATGAATCTATTGTCTGAAGTAGATATTAAAAATAACACTTATCTTTTTGGTTGCGAATTACTTCAATGTGAACTGTACTCATTAGATTTAGCTGATTTTGTTAATTTCTCATAGTTGCAAAACAAATTGTCCCAAAATCCAACAAAAGAAAAGAAAAATGCAGTAAAAAATAAAATATGTCAGAAAAAATTGAAAGGCTTAACCGTTAAATTCATTCACCCCTGAAATTTCACAATGAACTATTCCAACCTTTGAATTGGAAGAGTTCAAATGTGTCTGCAGGGGTGAATGAGTTAACAGTGCAAACGAAAGTATCTCTGCACTGCTCCCCTGACATTTTTGTGAGGAAATGTTTAAATATTTCTAAAAGAAGAAGAAAAAAACAGCGAAAATTTTAAAAGGACCGTTTTAAACATATAAATTATTTAAATTGAAATTTAAACATGTCTTGCACGAAAAATAAATTTTACATATATTCAAACAGTCTTTTTATGAAACTTATTTTTGAATGACATAATTATGTCTTATGAAGATATTATACTTTCAAACAGAAAAACCCTAAAAGAATAGCTACACATAATGTATATCGGAAATAAGTGTTATCTGAAATACTCGCCAAGATAATAGATAAAGATGACATACATATGGTTTTTTATTCATGAAAAATAATGACAGTTTATGGGCAAGTTAAAATTGAGCACCCGTTTATAATAAAATGAATGGAATTAAATGAAACGAATATTTCTTAGAAAATCCACCAACACAGATACACATGAAGTGATTTCGGAAAAAAAGGATTTGTTTCAATTTTGATAATTCATCAATAACGCCAAACAATCACGCGATTTTCAAGAATACTGAAAATAAAATAGTTTTTACCGGCATAGAAAAAACTGTGAGCACTGTCATTTCAAACATAAGGTTACCAGTTCAATTTATGTTTTATTTTTTATTTCTCTCGCACATCTATCCTCATTAAACTCACCAGAGTGACACACATTAGTAAAAATGTACTAAAAAGTAGGTTTCCAAAGCATTCTAAAGCAATTTAAAAAAAATCAAAAAATCTGAAGATCTAAAATGTTGAAATATTGAATTAAATACAATTAAATAGATGTTAATTTAAACTCCCTCTATGGTGTTATTTAAAGTGCTAAACCTTATACAAAAGTGATTCGTAGAAAAGAATTTTAATTGATATTTCTTACGAAATTACCGCACATTAATTTAAGCTAAATAACGTTAAACTAACAATGCTTTTTAAACAATGGTGTCACATCAACCCACTTCAAGAATTCAACAAAATTTATATAAAAACGTAACGAAATTAAAACCAGTAGAATGCAGCCATTTCCCTACAAGCTTTCTTAATCAAAATTGATGCCAGGGCATTGTTCTTGTAGTTTAATCATCGTTAATTCAATAGTTACATGTTTTTTAAACTGTAACAAAAAAAATGTGATCAATGGATTCTTTATAGAATAAAATAGTCACGTTTAGTTAAAATTTGTAACGTTGTAATCAAACAATGTCAATTTTTAATTTGATTAAATAATTTTCTTCTGTATCCCATTAATAATCTTAGCTTTGTTAAAGACGTCGTAGGTTAAAGACTTTGCAATAAAACTCTGCATAGCAACATCTGACTTTGATCAGCTATTTGCAAATCAAGTTTCCATGGCAACATGACAAGGGAAATAAGCGCTGCATGGATCTGGATTTTAGATCAATTTATCAAATTATATTTTTAAAAATGTGTACTTTACTCCGATAATTAAGAGCTCTGTGTACTTTGGAAGAGCATACTTTACCAACACGAAGTCAAGAAGCAACAAAGCAGCAAATCTACGCTACAGTAAAGAGCTGTAATACGTTTAAAACACGCATCACGACGCGTTCATTAATGAAATCAGCAGAACAAAATACCACACTATGAAAGCATCTGTATTATATCACCAATATAACCGATGCACATTTTACATCGCAATGCAACGCCAGCTACGCATGATTACATTATCTGGACTAGTCTCGTTCAACCAGACGCTTGATCACTCGAAGCTTGCGCAGACAACAAGAGTCTGGCTGAACGAGACTAAATCTGGACTTGAAAACAAAGCTCTCTTATGGATTAGAGGGGGAACAAATAAAGATAATATCGGTCTTAAAAACGCTTGTCATGTACGGATCCAAAGCACTATGAGTAGTAATGTATAATATATATTTATATAAGAAGTAAAAGGATAACATTTGTATGATTCAAACCACATAACATGCACTTTTGTAAAACTCTAAAACTCTCACGTCATCATTTACACATTTATAACATAAAAATAGACTCTCATACTCTCAGAGACATTTTTTAACATCTCGAGATCAAATATGATCATTTTACAACTCGATCAAGATGAATGGAACTCTTGTGATGGTTGACCAAGATCTACGATGAACTCTGGACAAAGAAAAATACGCAGTTCACAACCGGTTTGTGAAAAAACCCGCTTGTCACAATCCCTCAGATTCTTATTCAGCAGCAGATAGGTCCAAATACCAGCTTTTCAGCACTAAGAAGTTCTTTGTAAACTTCTGCGTTCTACGTCACTTCCGTCGACTTGACTTTTGTTTTTGTATTTTTCAATGCACGCATTTGCACACGAATTCTCGGGCATTTCCGCGGTGACGTCACGTTTGAACATGTGCGCACGTCACTCATGTTTACTCACAGAGGAAGCGTTTATGACGCACGTCTTTTAATTATGTGTATGCCTTTATTTTTACAAGTCACTTTTGGACATTTACACATCTACCAAGTATACGACATCGTATACAGACGATACAGATGCATATTTTGCACGCTTATAGCAGCACATTTGCACACGTTACTAATCAAGACTAGCAAGATTTTGGACACATCAGCAAATTCTCTTAAAGCATGCATTTAACACTGCAATCATTCTGGTTGTTCTGTTGGTCACAATTGGTGATCAGCTGCGGCTTACTCATATCTAAGGACGGGTATTCCGCCTTGTAGTTATCCGTGGGTTTAAATTCTCCATCTTTATGGAAAGAGTCCTGTGCCGGGTACGTCACCCCTTCCTCTGGAATCCCGGGGGCGGGGACAGAGTTCTGCTGCGTCATAGGGATGTAGGTATGATCACCCTGGCCGTCCTCCCCGGGTTGAAGCTCGGCACAAAGTAACAACAGTTTGGTAGCCCCGACTGCCAGAGCGAGGATTCCTCCTAGACCCCCGAGGAGGAGGGACCAAGGGAAGTGGTATATGTTCCGAGAATTGTCCAGACGGATCCTAGCATGCGTACTGAGGTCGGCTGTCCAGTGACCAATCACTGACAACATCAGAAAACCTGAAACCAGCACAAAAGGAATAATATTAATGTATAAGTTCTACAACGATTGCTCTAATGTATAAGGAATGCAATAAGATAAACGATTTGAAAAAAGTATTAATGCAAAGGAGTTTTGCATAGCAACATCCATCCTCGATATCCAGAGGTTACGCTCACTTTCTCTCTCTGCACCCCTGGAATATATGTCATAGCAAAATTGAAGGCTCAGTGTGCGCCACCTGGTTAACGAGACAAGACTACGAGTTCGATCCTTTGGTGTACATCAAAAGAATCTCGCGGTCACGTAACGGTAAACATTGACAGGCTTTGAAGTCGGGCGTCTCTCCTTTCTAATCTTCAAAGGTCAGGTATCAGCCTAGCGATTGGTCGACATACTTTCCTGGTCGCCATGACATTTCTGCTTGCTTTTGTGTATCTAGCTGCAGAAATATGGGTCGTAAAAATGTAAAAAGACCGGTGTAATCAAGGATGGACATATTAACTATAAACCGCTTGATTTCAAAGAACTAAGATCAGTTTCGACCTTACGGTTCATTAGGGTTGAAAGGATTATGTATCTGTCATTCGCTGCGCATGCACGTTACAGCCTTAATTGTGAAAATATATATGGTGTCCCACGAAGCATTGCGAACCAGATTATATTAGTTTCGTATTTCTGTTAAAAAAAATGGAGAAAAAAATGATAAGTATATCCATATTCCGTACGTTTTTCCTCTACAGGTGTAGTGGTTATCATGCTTTCAACATCCGGGCTTTCGACGGTTTCCGTGATGTGTTATGCATTGTAACTGATGCATAATGATAAAGTGACAGATAATACTGAGGGAAGGAAAAAAACATGACGAGATTTGTTGTCATGGAAACTAATTCATCTTTTTTCAGATTGGTTACAAAATTAGAAAATCGACAAAAGCGCTCTGTAATTTAATCCAATCACCATTTCTCAATTGAATTTCAAATGCCAGAACACGCTCTGTTTTCTATATTGTACGGGTAAGGAAGACACACGAACAGCACTGGTGACTAATAAAAAAATTGAAATTCTAAAAATCCGGAAAAAATTGCTTCGTGCATCAGTTGAATTTTGAAAATGATTTTGTTGAAAATGATTTTGTTTAGCATGTTCGAAAATGATCAATTCGGATAAGTGATATGTTGACCTGTTTGGTAAAAAAACCTTCAGATATTCTGATACAGAATCGGCTGATTGATAGATTGTTTAAGGGTAACGGGATTTTACCAGATGTATCTCGACCAAAGTAGAAAGGAGAGAAAATAACATGTTAAACCCAAAGTGACGCAATGGGGTACCATATTACTTTTCTCTTACCATCATGCAACACACTAATGTATATCTGGCATCCGTTTTTGAAAACAAAAATCACCTAAAAAGTCTGTCAATGTGCAAGTCTGAACATAGATTATCTAAAGTATAACCATGGCACCTTTTAACGTACTGGTCGTTAAATTTACTCTTATTACCATGGCAGAACATGTTTTCTTTTAAATCAAGTTCTAACTTATCAAAATTTACGATCAGAACAGATTTACTGCATTCCCACTTTTCAACTTTCTCTGCATATTTCGAAAGAGAGCCCAACTCCCTGAAATTTCGATGGGTTTTCTATAATTTCCCTTTTTCATTTTGTCGATAAATTTGAAAAATATATTCTCTTTGGTCTCTTGGAAGCAAAAGAACAAAATCTATAACTATATCAGATTTATTGATGTTTGCCACATCTAGACTGCGTCACCAGTTCCACTAAAACCTCTAATCTGCGTTGCCATCCATGCAAGTAAATATTTCATTTCCGAAATTGTAATTAATGTTATCAGGACGTGTAACCATGGAACAATTTGACAGTTATTCGCAGTTTCATCGCCAGATTTAAATCTCCTCGTCCCTGTTGCCATGGAAACAAATATTAAATATCCCTCTTAACAGTAATTAATGTTTCTACAAATTAAAAAGTGTATCCTCCCAGATTTCTTCTATTTAATACAAAGACCAAATCCGTACTTGGGATTTAGTGCTGTCGCATTTTGTCACAAACAGAAACTCTCTTCATTTTTCTAATTTCCTGAAAACCTTATGTTGTTGCTTACTAGTGATTGCCAAGCCCAGAAACAGGCTAATATCCCCTGTTGCTTCACTTGTCCTCTGTGAAGAAGCACGACATTTTCTGTTGCGAGTCTTGGAATCGATTTTTGAAAAAACTCCTTCCCGGTTAAGTCCATTAAACACGGAGAATTTCGCTAATGGGTCCGCGCTTGGTGTTCAATGCAATATGAAGCCAGTCGGTGTGCCATCATCTGTTTTAATTTTCAAACGTTAATTAGGACGCTGCCTTTCAGATCTCCGGAGAACCTGCATTTACTCTCTAGGATTTTTCTAAATATAATTTCTGGGACAATTGTTTTCCTTCCCTCATTCTCCAACATGGCGCCAAGTTCTAGGAATCGACTACAGAAATGGGATTTATTTTACTCGTTGTATAGTTAAAGTTTACACTATTTTTACTTTTATTTCTGATTTACTATGTATATGAATAGTAAAATACAGAACTCCATAAAAACATCTTGAGTGTTTATCAAATTCAAAATTAAACAAACCCTCAATGTTTAATCAAAAATAAAGTTATGGTTACAATTAAACTACGCATGCGCTTATGACCTAAAAGAACTTAAAACGTTTGCCAAAGTGCCTCGGTCTAAAATGCGCTTGGATACCGAATACTTCCTGGGGAGGCGCTCACAAATTACCAACACATTTATCTATTAAGGAAACTAAGTGATGCCCTACACGTCTTGCCAAAGAGTTGTCTTTGGGCCCTGTTCTACAAATGGTCTGAAATATTTCCATATGACATTCACATGTCATTTTGAAAGCAATTACGATTTTCCCATAGAGAGGATCTGGTTGTTTTAATTATGGGGAGGATTTGTCTAAAACGGATGCAAAATATCCTAGGATATCTTTTCTATGGATGAGTCCATTAACTGATTGATATCTTGATTCATCGATTGAGGAACCATTGCTTCAGTTCACGCGGTCAGTGGGACGGAAGCCAGTGATCGTCGTGCGATTACCGAGTAGGAATGTCGATTTTTTCGTATTTCCAGGTGTGCAGTTATATATGAATCGGATGGTTACCTGACCATATTGACAAAATTTAAATATCGTGAAAAAGAAAGGCATACTTAACATATTTTGAAAAGAAAAGTTGAAGACATTGCCAGATTCGTTTTACCCCCCCCCCCTTTTTCTCTCTCTCGTTGAATGACTCTTTCCTTTCGGCGATGTCCCCTAATGATTGGATGTAGCTGGTAAAAGCCTTTCTATCTGTGCGGACATTGCTTGTCATATTACGACGTTAATAGACGCCACATGACGTCTCCGCGATGAGATATAGTCCGCGGGACTAAAACTGTTATTTTTGTAGGAAAATGGCGGAGCTACCCTCAGCGTTCACGTATTCTGCAAACTATGTCCTAAAACTGTAATTAGAGAAAATCTGAAACTCCGATTTTAATTTCCTGCTGAAACGGCGATCGAACATCTGTAGACACCGTCGTCAACTTACTCTTGTTGCCGTATGACGTATAATATAATTAATCGATATATTTGAAAAAATCCAAAACTATTTTTCCACATTATTTTACAAACTGATTTACAAAAAATAGTCATTTCCATATATTTGCTAGAGATCATATTTTTCTGTTTTTTTGTTTGTTTTTTGTTTTGAAAATATCTATCAATTGAAGAAGTCGCTAGAAGGCCTGTCAATCACAATTGATACAATTGAATAAATTATAGCTTTTTGATGTTAAAAATTGCTTGACGTTTTATTAAATTAGTTTTAGCCTTAAAAAAAGTCTTAAGAATGGGGTACTAGAATGGAGGGTATACAGTGGTATTTTTTGAAATTCTTTGTATGTATGTCTTAAGCGTGAGTAATGTATGAAAATTTATATACAGACAAAGAACGAACGGACCGACATTAAGAAATCAAATCGCAATGTTTCCCCGGTAAGGATATAATACCAACAAAACTGTAACTTGACAGGGAATAATACCAACAAAACAGCTTTCTTCAGATTAGTTTTGTTTGTTTAGGTTTTACGTCCTTTTAACAGTCATTTAAGGACGTGCCAGTTTGTGGTGGAGGAAAGCCGGAGTACCCGGAGAAAAACTACGGACTTGCGGAGAGTACCTCGCAACGGCCCCACGTAGGCCTCGAACCCGCGACGCAGTGGTGGAGGGCTAGTGGTAGCAGACTATCAGACGCCTTAACCACTCGGCCACTGCAGAATGCTATGTACATACAAAATTGTTGGTGATTCTTTCGCGTTCCTATTTCACCACACAGAAATCTATAGGATCGTAAACACCTGAACTTCTTTTATGTTCACGACCTTTCCATCTTTCGAAATCATGAGAAAGATTTCTTAAGTATTTTCATATAAAAAACGCTTGAAAGTTATATGACATTTCGGGTAACACTTTGGCAGATAGAGAGTCGTAAAATGGCGGAAAGCGCGTGACACATTCTTTAGAAAGTCGATAATTGAAAGTCTATCGGAGGACCGTCTCCGCATTTGACGTAGAGGATCCGCTCGTTTCCCCTGCACGAGCTCGAACAAGCTGGCGGTAAGGTGGCTATTAGACAGACACAATTAAGTTGTGACAAATATTTATCGATCGTCGTTTCAGCAGGAAATTAAAATCGGAGTTTCAGATTTTCTCTAATTACAGTTTTAGGACATAGTTTGCAGGATACGTGAACGCTGAGTCTAGCTCCGCCATTTTCCTACAAGAATAACAGTTTTAGTCCCGCGGACTATATCTCATCGCGGAGACGTCATGTCGCGTCTATTAACGTCGTTAAAGGACAAGCAATGTCCGCACAGAATACCTACGCGACAACCGCTGTAGATGAAAGGCTTTTACCAGCTACATCCAATCAAACTAGATGCTGCCAATGTCCTTTTATCCCGTTTCCGTATTCAGTCTCAATTAGTCCGGACGTTTTATTACGAGATGCAATCAAAAACCTTTTTACTTGTCGATAGGATAAACCTGGTTTACACGAACGGGAAAAGGGGAGATGGAAAGGGTGAAAGGAGAGGGTCAAAAGGGGGAACCTAATGCACTGTTGACAGGACAATCATCAGGTGGAAATGTTCCGAATGTCCAAACGGTAAATCGTTTAACACAATTTTGGAAAATAAAAGATGAGCGGGGAAGGCTACGAAGATAAAATGATCGCCAGTCACACGTCAAACGGGAATCTTTGTATGAGCTTTTCTGTTCAAATTTTTGCTTAAATTTTACCAAACGATTATTTTCGGCGGAAATTGTACAGACACAGGAAATAAAACATAGCCACGCGCAGAAAACGATTAATTCATCTTTACTTTCAGGAAGGCGCAAACCATTTTAATACATTTTCTAGCCAGCCTGTATTTAAAAACCCAATAATTGTCATTGTTAAAGGTCATTATTGGGAGCATCCGAACTCTTTCAACGAAAGAAAGGTCCGAGGAGTTCCGGTGACATAAGATGACCAGTAGGAGATAAAAGTTTTATACTATTACATTGTTCTTTCAGGCTGTATGCTTTTATGCTAAGTTAGCGCGACGAGACACGAATCATCAACGAGCTTTTTTTTATTGGTGGTCTCGTTATTGTTGGATGAATCATAGTTGTTTGTTTGTTTAGGTCTAGGGAGACACCAACTGAAAGAAAGAGTAGGAAAGAAGACAAAAAAAGTAAAGATCCCAAGTGTTGCCATTTGGCAGCAGATCAGATCACTCTATCTCCCCCCCCCCCCTTCCCGATTCTGCAGAGCGTTCCACATATGTCGCCTCTTACGATACAGCAAGCCAATTATTTCTCCACGTGTCCAATTTAGTTTAAGGGAGACAATTCTAAGGAAATACTCGGGATAAATCTATGACACAACATACACACTTAGAAAATGTTATTTTAACTGTATTTTAGTGTCGAAGCCGTTGTAATGGTATCTACAACAAGAATAATGATTTCGGACTTTTTCCAAAGTTGTACCCTTTTCATAATACTCAACTGGGACAATATTTTGTTATATTTTAAGTGGACGCCATGTTGATATAGAACTTAATGTTGTGTGATTCTTTTGAACCAATCGGGAACCGTCGGCACTTTCTGTTCTCGTATAAAGAAAGGGCCGACACGGTTCCCGATTGTCTGTGGAACGTGTGAAGTACCTACACAGTAGTATCATGTTTCAATTTCATTTGGAACAAAATATCGCTTTAACAGCGAATCAACAAGTAACCCATATATATAATATATTTTCATTTTAGAAGAAATTTTCTCAGTTTGTTTAGAGAAGCTTTCCAATTCGTCACTGTGACCAAGAACGGACAATTTCGACCCCCCCCCCCCCAACAAAAAAATAAATAAATAAAAAATAAAATAAAATAATAATAATATGAAGAATCACAGGAAAGTATGTTTCGACATGAAAGTGAATTGATGGCTTGTAGGCTTAGTGATAAATTCTATTGTAATATCAATATAACTTTCATAAAACCTCGCCCTGAGACATTATTTAAGTACATCGTTAAAATAGCATCAGGAAAGGGATGGTTAATCTCAAAAAGGTAACAAGATGACGTCACAATGGAATATTCCAGAATGGCATCAGAATTTCGGATGACACTTCGAGTTATAATTATGATATATTTTTTATTTAAATTTGTACCTGAAGACACCAGTGCAATCGCTGATCCGATGTTGAGTCTCCTTTTGTGTCGAAGCATACGGCAGCTCATGGTAACACAGGCGCAGCCAATGAGGCAGAAAAGTACGGCGAAGGTGACGATGACTTGACCCCAAACCCGTAAAGCGTACTGTGGCTCTGCAAGGAAAAACAAAAGATAAACATTAGTATATCATATGACGAAATATTGAATTGTGATTGGACAGAAATACAACTTGAAAACACGAGCAACAACAACAAATCTTCCGAACGTCTTTCTACGAAATACTTAATACATACATTTCGTTTGATTTTCCCATTTATAAGTCGGTTGTTTGTGATTTAGTATTTTGTAAGGGGAGGTAACCATGCAAATATGTTCCGGAAAACTACGTATGAATTCATACCCAAAAAATTCAATGTCATATTGCGACAGGATAACCGTTTCTAAGAAATGTGTCTAAGTCAGAACGAGGCTGATCTAATTATAGCCCAGTGTACATTTGTTTAATGCCCATCACGTGTCTTTGTCATACATAACGCCACCCATAGGAGCAGATCATTTTATAGATGACTGGAAGATATGATGCTTATGATGAAACTTATCACGTAACCAGTTATGTACCGGGGGCTCTGTCATTTCTTTGTGTTGGCAAACGATGTGTCTACTGTCAAAAAAATATCCAAAGATTTACCTGATCCGCGAAGTAATACAATATAAATATGACAATAAGCGGAATGTAATTATTGGTAAAACATATCGGATACATATTTGGAAAAGACAGGAGTATACCACTGATCTATGAAGCTACAACATGTCAAACACAACCAAGTTAATTGCAAGCGACCTTGTAGAAACACCAAGACATGACATTGTCACAATACTAACGTAAAGGTGAGGGAAAGAACACAAAATCGATGTTAATGTCTAAAATGGCTTCTCATACAGGAATTGGAAAGGTGAAGAGTCTCTAATCGGGAATTCGTTGCCAGAATGGTTCCCTCGGCAACTAATGACATTGAAGAAATGTTCATGTGTTCGAGCAAAACACCGAGTTATAAATAACAGGTTTATACTGGAAGGCTTCACAAGACTGAAGTCAATACCGACCCGGAAATCCCTGGTGAGTGTCACTAGACGTGACGTCACTATGTGTTTTTGCCGGACACTCCCTTCAACCGAATCCGACCTTTATTTTATAGTGCGATGCTAGCTTCCGTATCTGTTCGCCATTTCCACATTTTTTCTCTCTCACAAAACAAACACACAACAAGCTCTATAAGCCGTTGTGATTAGAAAGTTTAACAAATAATTTATATGATTGATGAAAATATGTATTAAATGTTCATTTAGGTATCGATCTTCAATGTAATAACCAAATGGATTACACATTTGACCTTTTAAGTCTTTTCGTCCAATATCGAAAATGTGAGTAAATGGATGGCACATAAAGCACTTCCGGTATTCTCTCTGAAGACTGCTTCCGGCTTCTTAGAGAAAGAAGCGTCCGGAAGGTCTATTGAACAGAATTACGTGCTAAACATGTTAGCCGATCACTTAACTAGCTGTTTGATATGGCGTGCAAATGGAGACACCGTCGTTTCTATTCTAAAAATAGTCGTATCATTTGAATGGAGTATTTGATCTTGCTCTAGGTTGAGGAAACTGGGCATGAATGACAGACATCTGAAGCTACATTGATGCCTCCTCCCCCGGGATGGGGGATTATCGGGAGAACAAAGACAGATATTCTGATCTGAATTGATACAGTGGCTGAATTGTGTACAGGATTATTCTTTTAATGGCGGGTTAGATTGACGCGTTTATAATGCAATATCCAGAAAAAAAGAAAGCTCTTTATGCTTAATACCATAAAATATACAACTTAAATCTACCTTTTTCAACATTAAACTGAACATAAAACTATCAATCTGGGATTCAAATTTCCCACAATCACACAAATAAAACAAAAATCTCACCTTTTAACGGATTTATCAGAAAAGTGATTTTTTTTAACTTAATGTACGTTAAGCTTATGGATGGTATTACACGTGAGCGCTGATATTTACTGTTACCAATGAAGGTGTGAATGGACGGTGATACAACCATTGTGATAGTCTATCGATTTTACCGGCTCTGTCAATGCATTCATCACTGGTTCGGACAAATACTACCGCTAAAACAGCGCGCCGATCATTATTATTTTCTATGATATGGGTTCAGGCATCAATTAGAGTTGCCGTTAGCTTAATTGTTGGGAAACACAGCACACAATTCCTGTCACATTGTTGTTAATGTTATAACCATGGCAACGCCATGATACCCCGACTGAGTGAAGTCCACGAGGGACAGATTTTCATTTGGTTTAAAGTATTAAGTCCAAATATGATTTCTCTTATGTAACGCATCATATAACGAGTTATTACTGAACCGAATGTAGAAAATGTGGAGCACACCAAATAACCGGAAGTAGAAACAAAGGTGTCGTTTAACAAACCGGAAATAGTGTAATGAACATCAAAACCGGAAGATAAAATGTATCATATTGTATAAAGCAATTTATAAGACAAAAAAAATGTTTTAATTTAGAAATCGGATTGCGTCTTACGTATAAAATATAGTCGAACAAAGCTACTGCATGAATTGAAAATATCTTCTGTTTCTATAGTTTTGATTTTCTTGGGAAGTGCATGATTCTAAGAATGTAAATGAACAACCCAAGATAAGAAAACTTACTTGGGTATGAAAGTTTAGTATCATCTAAAAGTTGAAAAAACCCTCATTACGTGCATTCTATTTGCATTGAAACCGCGAATAGAAGCGAAATGTTACAAAATATTCGTTCAGTATAATATCTAGTGGTAACCTTAATAACATCGGCTTTATTATGTTTAGCCGCAATCTGTAATAGGAGGCGTGAACGCTTCATGTTCCATTAAAATCGAAATCCGTCAAACGTTTTTTGCTAATCAAAAGCCTAGTACCTGATGAATATAATGAGCAAGTCGTGATCAAACACGAAAAAATGAAATTCCGAGAATGCAAATTTTTGGTCCTCGAAACATGACAAATGACGGAACGAAATTTAATTAGTAACTTGATTAATGCTTCTTGATCAGTCGTTGTGTTCCTTTAATGAGGGATATTAAATGTTGGAACGTGATAAACTTCGGAAGAGCCTCGTGTCTCCGTACTAATTGAGGACCTCAGATAATCCAGAAGCTTCAATTCTTAGGAAAGGTCGGGGCAATCAATTTCCGAGGAAACGGAAGATATCGGAAACGAACCATCTCGAGCAGGAAGAGTGGTGTCATCTTTAATACTCGTTTATTATGCATCATTTGCGTCATGATGCCAAAAACGTCTCATTTAAGTTCGACCAGATTGTTTTCGACATAACGGAAAAAGCATTTTTTTTTAAGATGACCAAAACAATACCCACAATATCTTTTACCTCAAAACAAAGCTATTAAAGAGAATTGCAAGAGACGCATGACCTGTCTTGCAGTGTCAAACTTCCGTCTTGACGTTCTTATTTTAAGTTGCCATTTCTATTACAAGTTCTGGCGAATAATAAATAAACTCTATGGGGAAAAGTAAAAGTTTTATTTAATACACTAAGTGTTAAACAGTATGGCTCTGTAGCGTTTATTTCTGATTGTTTACTGGCTTTCTCGTCTCAGAATTTTTTTTGCCATTGAAAATATGTACTGCACTCCAATTTCCGATTTTTGTTATATTTTTATTCGTGCATCTCGCATCCGAATATGTTAGACAAAATGATGAAATCTCAACGACATTTATTAAAACATATTAAACTAAAATACCAATATTTCATTAATGTCACCAGAAATTAATTAATTCTGAACATGTATTTCAATAACAATCGATTTTAAGTCGCTCATAACATGCAACACACGCACAGATAAGTTTTTATTATCATTTTTTGTTTGTTTTAATCACAATAAAACGAGCTGATTAGAAACTCAACCTATCCCCAAAATCGATATCAATCAATTCTTGTAAAACTGGCGGGAAATACGTGACAGAAGAACAGAAATATTTAAATCTGACAACAACAAAGATTAATAACCAAAAGGAAAGAAATACGATTCAAAAGGTGTATCTCCGTTTTTGCCCTCAATTGTTTACTTCCCAACTCAATTTTTTGGTGATAATTATAATATACTCACCCAGGGCACGAATGAAAAATTGGAAAAGAAATATATAATTGAATTGACAGCCAAGATGGAGAGAGACATTCTTAACTAACAAAGAAAGTATCCGTTTACAAAGCCATTCAAAGCGTCGCTGATGTTGAGGGGCTCGTAAGACTTAAATAACGGTCCCTCCCTACAAAAGAATAACGGGTAGTTGAGCATTAACGTTTCACATGACACCGAGGTAGGGCTTCAGGTGGGTTGTGTGCCAGTACAACCGAGGACAGGTATGGGGTCAGATAACATGTATTCCGCCAACTAAAACCTCCTAAATCATTGTCATGGATACCAGGTAATCGTCAAGGGTGATAGAGTGTATGTGCCCCTTTTTACTGAGGGACAAAGCCACCATTATTAAAGGGCCGGAAATTGGATATGATGCATGTCGGGAAACTATAGACCCACAAAAATGGAGGCTTTGTTGCCTGGCGATAGTTTCAAAGATGATGTATTGAAATTCAAAAGAACAGTGAGATTTATATGATAATGATTGTAATTGATCGTCGCAGATTTACTTCCGAGTATGGTTTAAATTCAATGCGGACGTCATGAAGGCCCCCTCATGTCCTATACTTAAGGCCATATGCTACATTACAGTGGTATGCGTCTCTTTTTGCAAAAGAGTTCTATTAAAAACACCGTACGAAACATTTCTCAAGAATTGACATATGAATATGGCTTATGATTAAATTGACGACACAATGTCAGAAGGATTAGACACCATAATATTGCTAACAAAACAGGCATAATACAAACATATATTTCACAGTCATAATATACCATATAACCTTAAGTCGTTTTTTTCTGAGAGAGAATTTCCCTTCGAAATATATTTAACTGTACCATAAGGATATCGGGGAATCGATGTAACATTAAAGTTTGTTTTATCCAAAAGCAGATGCAGAATGATCATAAGATATTCTTGTTGAAGCTTTATA